CCAGCAAAAGCAACCCCAGAATCCATAGGGCAGCCCCAAGACGCCTAAATAAGCAACCTTAATGTAGGGGCCCCAAATAAATACCGACACTACTTTGGGGGGGCGGGGGGGGGCGGGGGTGGGGTCCTTGTTATAATCATAGTACAATGGGCCCCAAAGCCGCATTCTAATTATTAAGGGCCTCTATATCGCATTCTTGACACTGGCTCTCAGGACGACATTCAACTCAGCCATCTCTGTCGCTTGGTCGGTTGGCCTGAATCTCGAAAGCCTCCACGTCTCCTTCTCTCTTTCTGTACATGCAGACATACATACACACACACATATATATATATATATTATATGCACACATACACATACATACACATGCAGACATTCATACATACATGCATGCAATCATGCATGCATACATACATACATGCATACACTATACAATATATATATATATATATTCATATTCGAGTATGTATCATATTGTGCACAGAAATATCAGATCCACACGTAAGTACGTATATGTTGTTTGTTTGTGATATATAGTTAGTACATGTCTAGTTGGGCTTGCAGGTGCTACTACATAGGGACTTTATCATCGGTGTGTGTGTGTGTGTGTGTGTGTCCGCGTGCATGTAAGTTTATGTGTATGTATGCATTTTTTCATATACATATAGAGAGAGAGAGAGTATCTGTTAGGTACGTGGACTTGTCTCAATTTCTCAATTTCAAGGGTGCGGTATTCTTGTAAGGATGCCATACGGAAGCTCCCGAACGGAGGCGTCAGGAGATTTAGGGCTTTGCATTCTGTACATGTGCGCATGCATATACATATATACATATATATATATATATATATACATACACATATGCATGTATGTACGTATGTAAGAAAGTAAGTAAGCAAGCAAGTAAGTAAGTATGTATGTACGGGCATGCCTGCATGCATGCATGCATGCATGCATGCATGCGTGCAAGCGTACATACATATATACACATCCATGTCCTTGTTTACCTTATTTATTGCATGTATCCTCTGCCTGCCAGTATACCCAACATAGGACAACTGCCCAATCCCAAAGACAGCACGCGCTCGAGGCTACATGCACCCAGCTGATGTTCCGATCGCTGCCGAGGCCTCGGCTGAGGTGCGTTCCTCGCTCGCACAGCGAAACACCGCAGGCTTGGGAGGAGAGCAGCATCTGAGTACTGTAGGAACCTTATTATTAGTACTGATATTATTAGTACCATCACTAGTATTCTTATCCTTAGTATCAAGATTAGTTTCTGAGTAAGGTGGGAACCTTTTCCATTTTTATTCAGATTGGTATCACTATTCGACTCTATGTTCTTAGTAGTATCTGATTAAGAAACCGTAGAACCTCCAAAGCATTCGGATTGCCGTAAAGCTAAGTTTCTTAATCCGGCTGCTACATTGGGGGACCGTCACTAAGACCTTTCGTCTTCTTACATAGGCCGATGTCTCGTGCAAGATCTGGAAATTATGGCTTCAGATGTCCGAGTTGGGGAGGTTTAGGGTTTAGGGTTTAGGGTTTAGGGTTTAGGGTTTAGGGTTTAGGTTCGTTTTGGCATGTAATCATACTTAAATCCGAACCTCCACACCCACAAGTTCCAGGGCCCACCCAAGCTCTGACGAATCCTCGACCCTAAGCCCAACACCACAGGCTCAGGATTTTGGAGGAGCGGCTATCTCCAGAAGTCTAGATCCCGAAATAGGTGGTCTCTGTCCCTTCATGGCATGTTCTGAGCGTTATGGGCTCTGTAGGGACTTTATGATGAGGATTCCATGATTCAGGATCTATCTTTGTCCGTTACTGAGGATCTACATTTGAGCTCCTTATTTTTCTGAACCATTTCCAGAACCTTGTACCGTAGGAGCTTGAGAGAAACCGTTACAAGCCTTATAAAGCCCTGTATCTCTGAGACCCCTGTATTCCAGTGATTGACTGCATTTAGGGTTTAGGTTTTGGGTTTAGGGTTTAGGGGTTTAGGGGTTTAGGGTTTAGGGGTTTAGGGTTTAGGGTTTAGGGTTGAGGGTTTGGTTGATTGCATGTTTTGCGTGGGCTTACCCCTTCTCCACGCCGCGCGAGCCGAGAGCCCGACTGAGTAGGCTAGCGAAAGAATGATCTTGGGCCAAGGGATTCAGGGTGTAATATAGGGGCCTTGATAATTAGAATAGGGTTTTGGGGTATGTAATACGATAACTGTAGTAAGGAGCCACCAAAATGGTATTGGAAATTATTTCGGCCCCTACGTTAGAGTTTCGGGGCGGAGGGTAGAGGGCTTTGGGGTTTGCAGTGTTGGGATGTTGGGCAGTGTTGGGGTCGTGGTTGTAGAGATTCCGGTGCTGAGGCCCAAAGAAAATATTCATGCTCGCAAAGCAAGTTGCATGATTTGCGATCGTAAGCCACTTAAAATCACGCATGTACTTGCTGGGAGCTCTGGACTTTATGCTTTTGCTTGTTGAGATAGGCGTCATTAGGAATCAGAAGGGGGCCCTGTGCCCCAAGGATGAATTCTTGCAAGGACTCCATTCTTTGGGGGTTTAAGCGAAAAATGAAGTGGGTTTCCGAAAATTGGGGTATCTTATTTTGGGGTCCTTATATTAAGGATCCTATTATTTAGGGTACTATATTCGGGTCCCTAAGCCCTAAACCCTAAACCCTATTTTCGGGAACTCCCAAATGTCTGCACTTCAAGTGCCTTGCAAACCTCAGCTCTTAGCCCGAGCCTTGAGACGCCCCAAATAAGAGGGAAAGAGGGGGGTTTAGGGTTTAGGGGTTTAGGGATTTTGGGTTTTGGGGTTTAGGAGGTTTAGGGCTTTGGGGGTTTAGGGGGTTTAGGGTTTAGGGGTTTTAGGGTTTTAGTTTAGGGTTTGGGGTTTAGGGGTTTTGGGGTTTTGGGGCCTTGATTGGCATCGTAAAGATGGAACCCTGCACCAGATTCTAAGCCTCAGAAGGAAGCCAGCTTTAAGCCGAATCCCAACCCCAGTCCTTAAACCCTAAGCCCTACACCCTGAGCCCTAAGCCCTGAACCCTAAACCTTACACCCTAAACCCTAACCCCTAAACCCTAAACCCAAACCCCGACACCCTAAACCCTAAACCCTGAACCCTAAACCCTAAACCCTGAACCCTAAACCCTAAACCCTAAACCCTAAACCCTAAACCCTAAACCCTGAACCCTAAACTCCTTCGACCTCTGGGGAGTCAACCT